GGGGACTCAAGGTCCTCTGCTGCAGGAAATTTGTGGCAAATGGGGATCTTTTATTAGGGACCCCAGGATTTTGCTCATCAAGGAGAGGGACCCCAAATGGATGACCACTCTACAAGATCCCTAATGTAAAGGTAAAATGGCTGACTTCCTGCCACCATCACAGATCGAGCCCAAAACACAGTATGTTGAGGAGGTGTTGTGTGCAAACCTCTTGTCTGCATTTCCTGTTGATGGTAGGATCCCCTCTGATAATCAACATGCCTCTTATCCCTAAAAGGAGGAGCAGCAGTGGTGGCTGCCTCCATGTATTTAACCACAGTCATCAGGCCCAGCTGCAGGCAGAAATCATAGCCAGCTACTAAACCACATGGTTGCTGGCTATATCAGTCCCATGGTTGATGAAGACAATCTCAGAAGTGATGACTTGTAGGTGTCGAGGCTGGACCACTGACTGGTGCTGGTACGGTATGTGCTGGAGCTTTTGGCTTACCCTGGAAGCTATACTATTACCACTTCCAAATCCAGAGTGTCACCTTGTCTGAGCTAATTGTGTTGCAACCCCTCTAGTGAAAAATTCCTGGGTTTAGAGTGGCAGATTTCTAAACAACATGTTTTTTTATGTTCATATTGTTTGTTTTTTTATATATTTTTATTTTTTAATTATTTGGTCAAGCTTTTTGCACTGCAATCCCTCTTTTATATTATTTAGAAACTAGTTCCTTTTATTATTTGATACTGATGCTGTATATGGGCTGCACGCAGCAGAGGCCAGGCATGTCTGCAATTCCTCCACTTTGGCACCATACAATTTCTCCTCCAAAACACTGAGCAGCCTTTTTTTTATAATTTGTTTATGTATTTATTTATTTTAGTTAGGGCACTGGAGGCATAGCTGCATGGAGAAAACCATGGGAGAAACCTATGGCCATAGGCTGCCAGCTCTTCCACAAGCTAGGGGAAGAGCAAACAGCAGCAAATGGAGAGAGGAAATCCTACTGCTAGGAGGAAGGACAGGCAACAACAAAAATTACATGTAGAATCCTATAGCCATAGGCTGTCCACCTTTCCCAATCAGAACCTTCCAAAAAAAAAAGACAAGGATATTCTAAAAGAATGAAAAGAGGTAAAGGTGCTGTTACCTGGAACTACTAGGTGGCGAGGCTTGCTAATGTGACCTTCTTCTCCCTTTACTCTTCCTACCTTCTGCCTTCACCTATTTCTCCTCCTCCCTCTACTCCTAGCATGCCTCCTTTAATTCTTGTCACTCCACCTCCTCCTCCTTCTATGTATCCCACAGTAACATATTCATATACTCATTTCAATCCCCATTCTGTCCTTGTTGGTCTTAATCTGTGAGTGTTCTAGAAGGGAATTAAGCTGTCTGGATGAGAGCATATGTGGCTCTAAATCTGAATATATCTTTTTAGCATTAATGGTGCCTTTCCTGATGTGCAAGCTGCCCATTCGATACGCACTAATGCATCCCCATGCCATCAGAGATGCAGACCTTTGAAGTGAGCACTAATAGCAAGCCGGAAGATCCCTCTCCTCTTTATACGGAGGATGCAGCGCCCATGGTTGCCAAAAAGAATGGCAATGTTTTATTAATCTGACCACAGAACAGTTTTCCACTTTGCAACAGACCATTTTAAATGAACTTTGGCCCAGAAAAGATGGTGGCATATCTGGATCATGTTCAGATATGCCTTCTTCTTTGCATGATAGAGCTTTAACTGGCATTTTTGGATAGCACGGTGAACTGTGCTCACAGACAGTGATTTTTTGGAAGTATTCCTGAGCCCATGCAGTGATCTTGATCACAGAATTATGCCTGTTAATAATACAGTGCCATCTGAGGATCCGAGGATCACAGGCATCCAATATTGTTTTTTGGTATTGTCCCTTGCGCACAGAGTTTTCTCCAGATTCTTGCAATCTTTTGATGATAGTATGTACTGTAGTTGATGATATATGTAAACTCTTTGCAATTTGGACCTGTATCAGAGAGGACTACCGAACAAGCACTGCAGACGTTACTAATAAAATCAATACTTTTGTTTAAGATAAGACACAATTTTTGGGGTTAATAGGAATGCAGCACGGGGATGTGGTACACCTGGGATGAGCGAGTATGCTGTTTTGGGTGCACAGTGTTTTTACCATATCTAAGGTTTTGATAATTGAAAAGCTAAATATCAATTAGTTGTTGCATACAGATATTGGCCCTTCAAAGGACTTTGGGTGTACAGATCTGTGCACACAGGTAGGGCACATAAGAAACTATACCCCTGCACAACAATACAAAGAACATATGCATAGTTTGTTAAAGTGGATATAAACCCAAACACTAAAGTTTCATATAAGCTACATCATGATAATATCACTTGGAAAGCCTATTTTTATTTAAATCACTAGCTTTTATGGAAATAACAGCTGTCTGGGCACTTTGTGTTATGGGGTTACAATGTTCTGCTCCTGTCTAACGCAAACTCCTGCATGTAAATTACCGTGTCACATGTTCTCCCAAAGGAACTATGCTGATGCACATTGCCCAGGCATATCCCACTTTTGTCACCATTTAAAAAATGGTCTGTTAAATAAAACAATTGCAACCAGCTACAATTAGGAAATATGCACTGTGAAAAAACACATGCAACCTGTTATTACTATAGTGCATATGTACAGGACATGCTGTAAAGAGGCTGCAGGACATGAGCAGGATTAACATGTAACAAAAGATGAAAAGGGGTCAAATCCCTTTACTCCCCCTAACCCCCAAACGTTTCAAGATACACAGCATTTTGCTACCTACATGACATTCAGTAAGGATTTACATTTACTTTTACAGCCCTGCGCTATTCTCTCTTTACACACTTTATCAGCAGCTATCCCTATACTTTCCCCATCACAGCTAAATCACATCGTCAATATGGCTAATGTGACCTTACCCTTTTAAAGGGGGCCCTTATTGGCCCTATGAAGCAAGCTGATGTAATTTCAAAGGCAAGGCATTGCATTATGGTTATAAAAAAAAAAATGGTCTGGCGAATTCCTGCATTTGTTCACCTAGTCCACAAACATTGAGAGTCCAAAATTTCCCACTAACTCATGGTGGGTGGTGAACCTGAACCTCATCCCTAATATTTGTTACAGAGATGCATTAGTTTATATTTATGATATCTCTCTATAGTTTAGCTTTAACCATTGGAGCATTGATAATCTAAATAGAGCTGCTGTATGTATTATTAATAATGTTTTTATTATTTGCTTATAATACGGTGTAAGATCCAGCTGCACATATATGAAGCATTATACATAAAGTAAAAGG